TCTTAACCACTTGAGCCACCGCAGCTCCTATGGGACATAGGACAGAAAACATGGGAGTAGAAGCCGTAATTATTCCTGAAGCTGTGCCCCAAGTGTTGGTTCCCATGAGACTGACCTTGGTGAATCTTTGTGCCTAGCCTAGGTTAGATAGGGCACCATGTATCTGTCTGTGTTACCATAGAAATGCTAGGGGGTAGGTGTGACGTGAGCAATGTTCCCTCTAAGCTGTAGAGTCTTGTGAGCAAAAATTCTACTTTGTGAGCAACTGGCATCAAAGTTGTGAGCGAGCGGTTTGGCTGCTGCATAAATTAGTCTGCTCTGGAGCCATCCTTCCTGAGCGAAGACAAAAATGTGTGAGCCAGAGGCTAAAAAACTGTGAGCTAGCTCACACTAACTGAGCTTAGAGGGAACACTGGTGGAATTGTACGCTTTTACCTATAACCCCCAAGTTCCCATGGTTTTCTTAAGTCCTCACAAAAGTCCTTGAACCTACAGCAGGCATATCTCTAATAAACATTTCACTGCCAATAGTGTGTGTTAAGAGTGACTTAGTTGGGGACCTGACCTGACAGTGCTACGACCAGAAAAGGCCTTGCCTGTAGTGGCTCTGAAAGTGGGGGCACACAGGCCAGGGTATCTGAAGATAAAGTTAACTCATGGGCTGGCTGGCTCCTAATGGGAGCAGGTGGTCCTTTAGAAACCCGAGGCCTTAGATATTTAGGACTTTACTAGTAAGTGAATTGTGCCTGGAAGCAAATGGGAAGAGGAGGAGGAAATTGAATTTATACCCCGTCATTCACTCAGAGTCTCAGAGCAGCTTACAAAAGCTCCTTTCCCTTCCCCTCCCCACAACAGGACACCCTGAGAGAGCTTTGAGAGAACTGCTCTTTCAAGGACAACTCTGACAGAACTATGGCTTGCCCAAGGTCATCCAGCAGCTGCATGTGGAGGAGTGGGGAATCAAACCCAGTTCTCCCAGATTAGACTCCGCTCACTTAACCACTACACCAAGCCAAAGCAGTGCTCAAGTACTGAAGAGATGTGTACTCTGTGCCATTTGACAAACTTGCCTCTGCATTCTAAACTGGATGATATGTTTGGTCTTCCACTTAATAGCTCATCACAATATTCTAGCTTGGGAGTGATCCACACATGAATAACTGGCCAGATCTCACTTTTCAAGGAAAAGTCAGAGTTTGTGCAGATCAGCTGAAGTTGGTTAAAGGCCCTGCTTGCCACGGATAAGGCCTGAGCCATCTGTTCATAGGCATAAATCTGAAAGCATGCCTAACCAGCAAACATGCTGGAGGGAGGGGGGCCCCACCTTGTCTTTTATTTTATTTTATTTTTATTTTTAACATATACAATATAAACAACATAAACAGCAATTTCCACTTAATATATAGGTTCAGTGGTTTAACCATTAAACAATGTATAAACAATATAACTGTAATGTGCCCTCAGTATCACTTTATAGAAAAATAAGATTGTTAGCATTTGCTTAATAAAATACAATGTCTATGTATTTCTTTGGAATGGCCATTTGTTTGGTGAGTTTGTAATATAATCAAAAAAGGGAAACCATTTTTCAAGGAAATTGGGAAGTTTTTGATTGCTATTAAGAGATATCGAGTAGCCAGCTTATCTGAAACTGCTAAGCCCACCTTGTCTTTTACCGACTGGATCCTTGCCTAACTAATCCGTGTCTATCAGAACCTTGACTCTTGTCTGCATTCAGCCCCCACCCGGCTTCTTACTGCCTCCAGATTCCTGTCTGTAACATAGTTTGCATATAATGTAGTGGCAGCCTGGAAGTGGGGGGCGGGGGAGCCTCTTGCTGTTCACAAGAGCTGCTTTAGATGGTTTCTTGGAGGAGAGTCATCTTTGCCAGAGGTGATCAAGAAGGTGGCTGTTTGCAAACCTGGCTTAATGAGGCAAGTGACACCAATCACTCATGGACACTGTTTTGTTGGAGAGCTACAAGAAGAAACGTGGGCCACTGAAAGGCGCTGAAATGTGTCAGCAAATCTGGATTTGGTTTGACATCCAGAGGTATTTTGGGTAATGTGGTAAGTTTCTGGGGTAGTTAGGGGTACAGCACCTGAGCACTTGGGTGAGAGAACCACTTCAGGCCCTCCTGGCGCTGAGTCTAAACCTGTATCTGGAAAGCAGAGGTCTTGATTAAGAATCAAGGCATTCTTATCACAGAGAGGCTTTTCCTTCTCGGTGGCACCAGGGAGACATCTGCTGGGTGCTGACTCCATTCCGATAATGACGTCACCACCTTAGCAGCTGCAAGCAGCAGACTGAAAGAAAACAGACACCCCCCCCCCCAAAAAAAAAGGGCTCTTTGGAACAGGCAGATGAGAAAAGACGAACTGGGTTGAATCAGTTTTTTTAGCCTGTGTGTATGCATGCTAATGAGGGAAACTGCTGTCCTTTTGCCCCTTGGATCCCAGAGAGACCTCTAAATCATTGCGGATGCTCTCGCTAGTTAGGATTAGGCGGATCAAGGCCAGCAGTGGAGGAGAGCCAGCATCTGCTCTGCCTCAGAGAAGGTCAGGCGAGAGGAGAAACTTCAGTGTGGCCTCAACATCTGCGCAG